TGCATTATTCTTACTACTCTTGATTTTACTAGAGGTTATTGTTAATCTGAACTTGGAAACATGTTGTTTTGACCTGAACTAAATGGGAACCTGATAGATCCTATTACCTGGGATATTATCCACAGGCAACTGCCTGAGTACCTATACCCATTGGCAGGTGTAATGGTATCCCAGATTTAACCAACTTATGAACCTTGGGAGTTCTGGATTTATTATGAGAATCCATTATCAGTTTGTATTCCCAACTTTGTCTAGTAGAGCTCTGAACTATTTGGAAAGAGTTATGTTTTCATAATAGTTAAAATTAAAATTTTCTTTATTCAGCCTCAGTTACCATCTATACTCACTTATAAGATGAGTCCAACTGCAAACTGCACAGATTTAGATCTGCTGGCATATAATGCACCAGTAGATACGAGTCTTTGAAGTTTGTTAGGAGCAATCATTAGAATAAACAACACAGGCCTTAATCTATAGGTGCATTATGTTATGGCAGATAAGGATCTTTGCTGCAGTTTGATTTGACTTATAAACAAGTACATAAGGTGTGTTTGAAATTCTTACACATACATGACAACTCATATGTTGGCTTAAAGATGAGGAGTCTTCATTTTAAACTTTTTTTTGATGTTCCATACTGGAAAAAGCCATAATAGTGCTTGCTATAAATGCCTTTTGCATCATTTATAAATAATAGTATTGAAAAGTTTTATCTTCACAAAAGTTTATACAGGAATTATAGGCCCCTGATAATAATAATAATAATAATAATAATAATAATAATAATAATAATAATAATAACAACAACAACAACAACAACAACAACAACAACAACAATAATAATAATATGAATTTTATTTAAAGAATCTGACTTAGCCAATTGATATATATATATATATATATATATATATATATATATATATATATATATATATATATATATATATATATATATATAAAATCTAAGTCTACAACACTGCTGCTTTGATATGCATGCAGTAGTGCTCTGTTCCAAAAATAAAGAACTCCCTTATATGGAAATTACTGCATATGAATCAGCTAATGTACACCTATAATCTTTTAGTTCATTATTAGTGACAAAACTGACCATAAGTGAAATATTGAGATTAAAAAAGGTACATATGATTTGTAAAAAAAACTTCTTAAATACTGTGTATTAACCTTTGGAGATTTGTAGTTATTGATTGAAATGCGAGTAGGAAACACATTTTTAGGACTATTTCAGAAAAAATCATAATACATCAACTTCCATGAGATTTCAAGTTAACCTAATGCCTAGCTGTCAGAAACATTGTTTTTCATTGGCTTTTTCACTTGCCCATGAGCAGTAGGGTAAATATTTGAGTTTTTAGATTTTTTTCTTCACTTATCCGACCCATCCATTTTGTATCGAGACCACATTTTATTCCAAATGCCCATCTTATCCTACTTTCTTCAAAGGTTTGCCTGTCTGTGTGCAATTCAGACCGGTCTGCTTTAGCTCTGATACCAAAAAATCCAAACACAAAATCAGATTCCAACCAATAGAAAACAATTTTGCTAGAAAACAATTGGGTCAAAAAAATTACATTTTTTCTTCTGTATTTTGTAGTGCAACTAGAAAGTCTTGATTACTTGGTATCAGAGTTTGGAAGTAGGCTACTATCTCCTGACACATAGACAAGGCATCAGGGGTTTAAGAGTTAAAATGCAGAAATGAGATTCTATGATCTTCTAACTTATTTATAATCTATGTTCAGAAAATAAACACATTACATCCCCATTTTAATTAAAGATTATATACATGACTATTGAAAAATAGCTTTCAGTCCTTTGACAGGGTACATAATAAACCCCACATGCTTTAAATATAACCCCTTATCCCCAAAACTTAGATTTTGCCATTTTCTACTTGATATTTGCTGCCTTAATTTTGCCATCATAAATCTATACAGCAAAAGTTTAAAGAAGATATATGTTTACAATTAGGATTATATAAGCAATGATCTTCATCTTGTATATCTCAAACTTTTGCTTGCTCAGACACTTTTTCATTTTCCTTTAATGATAGCTTAAATGATAATGGTGAAATGATTGATTTATCGATGCATCTGCTAGTTTGCCATTTTCATACATATATTGATAATAAAGGTGGAGAATCAATTCAGAATTATATTTACCTTATAAAAATTACTTTTATTCTTCACTAGCCCTGAATACATGTGATTATAACTCCTTTATTTACATTTATTGATGCATATTTGTGTATCACAATATGCATCAATATGAGGTATAATAATTTTGATACAAAAACAACATGTCAGCATCTTGGTTCATTTTTCAGTGTCATGAAGATTTTTGATGATTTGACATCTTGTAGATTTTAATTACCAATCATATGTTTTCGTTATACATTTGCACTCCACGTTGATCGGGAAACTTTTAATTATTTACCATCAATACCATTTTTAACCTTTTTACCTTTAACTGTTTGGTCTCGAATCGCTGCTCGATAAATTTTTTTTTTACCACATTTAAAGAAATAAGGATATAACCTTATGTTTGGTGCTAAATAGCCTCATAGTGCTGGTGTGCTGTAAAAATATCAATCAATCAATCAATCTTGTAGAATGCTTGGAATAAAATTACAATGAGGGATCCTCCAAATACTTCCATGTTTGATACAGGTCTGTTTCCTAAGGTTGTTCCCAAGGTCATTGTAAATCCTAGGAGAAATTATTTATCAATGAATGTAATGGAATAGTCATGGAAAACAATCTTCTCATGGAAAAGTATAGAAAATGGTAAAAAATTGAAAATTCCTTTTATGTGCTTGTAAGTATTTAGTAATAAAGTGGATTGATCAATGCTGAAAGAGTTGGAGGAGGCCATATTGACAAAAAAAGATGTTTGTTTAATTATCTTTCCATACAGATGCATCTTTCCTTTTTTATTGTCATAAACATTAAAGAATTTAGACATTGAAATTAAAAAATCTATATTGAAGAAGTAATGGAAAAAGAAAAATTTAAATTTGTGTATGAGCCCTGAGTATATCTTTCATAATTTAGAAATTAGAAAAGGGAAATAAAAACATATCCAGTTTTTGGTCACTTATACTGCAGAAAATGTCATTTTTACTTGAAGTGACTATACAGTCAAAACACTTCTTGGTCTGTGGCTGGTTGCTAGTTGGCTTGTTGTGTGATGATGTTATACTTAAAAGTACATTAAGGTTAGGCAGTTGGTAATATTGGCGAGTGTAAATTTACATTAATCTTAGCAGCAAATTTAGGGAATTCATTTGGAATACATTTTACCACAGAAAAGATATTTCATAGTGCATGTTCTAAAAAAAGCATGATAAATTTACATACCGATGATTTTTGCTATTTTTGACCTTTAAAAAGTAGTTTTGAGAAGAGTGTGTTTTTTGTGTGGTTTTGGATTTTAAATGTAGCTTTAAAAAATGTTTCAGTCATAATGCAATGATGTCTGCAGTGTGGCAATTTATAATGATGTCTAGCACTGGGCATCATGCTGTAGACATGTAGCATGATGTTCCCACCCAGTTGGGTTATCTTGAGACCAGGTCAGCCAGTCCTAACACTAACCTTTTAATGCTGAGACCTAACAAGCAGATGTAAGTACCATCTTTATAAGTCTTTGGTATGACTTGGCCAGGATTTGTACCTGCTGTGTTCTGCTTCCAAGTGGTTGGTCTAACCACTTAGGCCACTGAAGTTGTCTCTTTGAGAAGAAGAACACTGGATAATGAGGAAGAAACTACATTTTACATAAACTAGGTATACAGGTCCTGTATTTACAAAAAGTTTTGAGTTTGAAACAATTAGCTCAACTTGAAAACAACAAAATCAGTTTTGATATTTAGGGTTTCTTAGGAGTAATCTATAGAACAAACAACATTGATCCTGATCTGCAGGTGTATTATGCCATGGCAGATCAGGATCTTTGTTGTTTGCAGTATGACTCAAGTATATATGGTACATTGTAGAAATTTGGCAGAGAGATTAAAATAATCAGTTCTTCGACTCTAATGATTCAAATTACAGTTATTGACTGTCAATGTTTTTTAATTTTTGGTGCTTGAGTTTCATGCTTGTAATGTAGAGAATACCAGGCCTGGACTATAAAGAGGCAAAAAAGCATGTTATCACTCTGTGTTACAGCCTCATTCAGTACTGCCATCTATACTTGCTCATAAGACATGTCAAATTGCAAACAACAAAGATCCTGGTCTGCCATAGTATAATGTGCCTGTAGATCAGGGTCTGTTTTATTTGTTTTAAGGATTACTCCTTAAAAAAACTGTACAGACCCAGATCTGCTGGTGCATTATGTGATGGCAGATCTGGGTCTGTGCAGTTTGCAGTTGGACTCCACTTATAAGCAAGTATCGGTATAGATGGTGTTTTGACATCTGCAGCATATAATCTGATATCTTTCTTGTCAGAAGACAATAACTGATGAATTTAATGCTTTAAAACAATGACTTAAGTTTTTGTCAGTTTTTGAAAAAATAATCCAATGACAGCTGTCAATAAATTGCTATTGGACAATCCTAAAAATGTGATTTGACTGGTACTCAATCCTGCAAGACAAGAGATGACTTTATCGTTTGCTGCGTTTTTTTTAGAAAATTTCACTTAAATTTCACTTGACCTTAACCACTTGCTACTAAGACACCAATGTTTATACTTGTAAATGGCTTACTTTGTGTACTGCTTGTAAATTTAATCCAAAAAAAAGTTTTTATTCAAGAGGTTAAAGATTTACAGCAGATGAAACTGTTCCAGAAATCAGCCATTGTAATGGTATCATTTTAAATATCATATACAGGTTTTGACAAATGGTCATTGTAGCAGCTTTACTAGACACTTATCATAAGACAACAAAACATATTTTGAAGCACTGATTGAGGTTTGGATACCTGTACAGGTAACACTGGAATAATGCTACACTACAGTTGCAGATATACTGTACCTCTGGCCTAGTGGTTAGAGCATCTGCCTTGGATGTGGGAGGTCATGGGTTCAAACCATACCAAAGACTTATAAAAATGGTACTAACAGCTGTCTTGCTTGGCACTCAGCATTAAGAGGTTAGTATCATAGAGATATGAGAGAAAAATTGTTAAAGCTATGTTAAAAATCCAAATCACACACACACACACACACTCACACACACAATTGCAGATATACTATACTATACTAGCACACTGATTTGAAGACTGATCGATTATTATTGTTTTAAAAAATTTTCATCAACACTCAAGTCTTTTTGTCAAGTGTGTCATGCAACAGCTAGCTTTTGTATAACTTAAAATCACTCAGATGAGATAAAATCATGTATCAACCCTATCTGAAAGCAAGTCTTCTCAGATTTATCCACCTCCATTTAATTGACTATTGTGCTTTGCAGCAAAATAATTGTTTTTTTTTATTATTTAACTTAAATTACATGTTCAATCAACAGTCTCATGTTCAGACTGGGCTTGTCTTCATGTCTTCATTTTTAAATAAAAAGATTGAAAATTCGATCTGTTCATGTATTCAAGGCTATTATATTCTTCAGGATTGTCTGATTCAGGTGACAAATGTTAAGCTGTTACATCTTGCATTGTAATTATGACTATTATTAGCCACATGTACTCCTGTGAAAGTTATGGATGTCACATAACTGAACACAGTTAATTTTAATTAGTGGTCAATTTTAAGTTACTTGTACAAATGTCACCATATTTGAATATTTTTAATTTATAAATGATTTTTTCCATGATAGATCTTATCCAACAGTTAGGTTAATTAATCCAACTTTTTTTGCTGCAGAAAACCTAAATTGATAAATAAATAAGATTAAACTTATTATGCTTTATGAGTCAGTATCTCAACTTTGAACTTGCAGTACAGTATTTAATGTCAAATCTAGATCAATACTTTTGATAGTTAATGGGGGGGGGTGTTGTTGGCAGGTGCCTCAAGCTTCTTAACTTTGCCAAGGATAGTGCCCTGTCTTTATGTCAGATATTTTTGATATCTGAGCAGTGCAAGACAAATATAAAGTCCTGTTTATCCTTAATTAAAATTTCTCCTGATTTTGCCACACAGTAGAGCTCTATCAGGGAGGCCTAAACAAACAATAGGGGTTATATTTTATGCAGATCTCTCTGAAGTGCTGCTACCTTAACAGCATTTGACCTAGTTGATTAAATGTTGGAAGATTGAAAAAGATTAGGCTACATGAATTCATTAGTGCCTTATTGATATAACTACAGGCAGTGGTCTGTTATGCAAAATTACTCCCAGTCACACATTTAGCCCAATCCACTATTGGGTGATGGTACATTAGATCAGTCAATCTATCTGTTCTGGGGTCAGAAAGGAGCCCAAATATCGGACCCTAATGGGTATTAACAGGTAGGAACCTTGGTTAGGGGATAATTTATTTGAAGATGTGTTTAGGATATTTGGTCATGGTTTTGAATCTCATTGAATTGACAGTGTGCATCCTACAACATAACTGGCAAAATTATTAGTGTTTGAAACAGCTGTCATGCAGTGGGAGACCTTTATCTACTCAAAGTTCCATTGGATAAGGGGAGGATATGAGCAATTATTTATTTATTGTTGTTTTCTTTTACAGAACTTTACACAGGAGATCAAAGGCACTTATAAATTTTGAATAATACTTATTATATGTCATAAATATTAAGAACTGTGACTAGGACCTATGATAACTATATGCTTTATAATGTGAAATGTAAACTTCTTTCTTGGCTCATCAATTAAGCATGAGATATCCATACTTACTCCTGTCAAATTTCAGCTACCACTGCATACAAAACAAATCCTGAATTGCCATTACACAATGTACCAACACATCATGTTTTATATTGTTTCTTCTACTGATTGCTCCTAACACACTGCATAGATCCAGATCTAAGTCTATGCAGTTTGCAATTGGATCTGACTTGTAAACAAGTACAGGTGACAGGTAGTTAATTGATTGCATTTTTCCTACCTATTTCATAATTTATCTGTACAAGAAAATATTTTTCTGGCCTATTGTTTTGTATGTTTATACCTACCTCTCAGTCTATATATCTAAAAAATATTTATATCTTTATTTTATCTCATGTTTTCCTATTTATATTAATTTCTGTATATTTATATAGAACGTTTACTTCATCTGTTTTGATATTTTCCATCCATGCAGTTATATCATGCTTATAGTGGCAACCAAAATTTGAAGAAATTGGGACTTTTTTAACATATATCTAAAATCACTCAGTTTTTCTTATTTAATTGCACTTTTATATATACCTTGATCAATAGCTGAATATATTATGTAGCTCAGGGGAGATAAGAGAGGGAGTGTGAAATCATATTTATCCAGTTTTATTAGCTTTTTCTAGTCATTGGTAAGAAGAGATCATTGAAAGGTGAGCTGGGCACCACACAAATTTTTTTACTGCTGTATTTCAGAACATTACATGATAAATACCATAGTATACAACAATTATTTTAGAGACTGATAAATTAATGTTCTGGCCTGATTCACATTTTTGAAAAAAAATTCTGTATGTCTGTAGCTGAAAAAAATATTTTGCAATGATTAATAGCAAAATAACACCATATTGTATCAATTATATTGTTTGAAGAAATTATCTAAAATACAATATCTCAGCACCCCAACCTCTTAAATGGTCAGTGCTTTTTAGTAGATGAATTTGCTATGTTACTACCAATTCTACGAGTTGTAATTTAAAATAAACTAAAATGGGATGATTGATCTTACACTACAGCTGATACCATATGAAAGACATGCCGACATTATTCATAAAAGTAGGAAGTATTGACACTAAAGCCTACAATTCACTAACTACACTAATTGATATAATAGACAGGGAAACTTTCAGTGGGATGCTAACACTGGGGCAAGATATTTATCAGAGAATGCCAGTAAACATAAAACACTGTCTCCACAAAGAAGAAATATTTAGTGGAGAAATTATATAAAATTCAAACAGACAACAGATTCTCTCTAAAATATCTTGGGACAATTCACAGTCATACAAAGAATTGCATGTATTTAACAATTAATATACACTTCTGGAAGTAAATAACTATACATGTAATAGGATCTTTTTTTTAAAAAAAAAATCCTTTATTTTATTTCAGGATTAAAATTTTGCCCAAATATCTTCCACAACATCTGTTTTAGCATCGATGTTGTATGTGGCACATGCGAAATATGTAATCAGGAGATAGAAAGTATAATTATATAGAGTTTTTTAAAAATCTTTTCTGATGTTAATTTCAGATATACTTTTTTGCATGGTAAGAAAACCCCATTATATTTAAATGAGTGGCAAAGCCAAAAGTTAAATTATATAGTTTTAGCACCACAAGATACCACATATCCTATGTCTATGTGGGAAAGGAAATTTTCTTTTTATTACATACTGAATTTGTTCCAGAATCAAAGTTTACAAGATTAATCTCATTCTTCAGCACAACACCCCACCCCTTTTCATAAATTCACCCCACTTTTATAGGCAGATCATATAATTATGAGTAAATTGAGAGAGTGGTAGGATAAAATTGACCTAATCTGTCACAATAAATGACATTTTTGATATTTTGTAAAACAGGTTTGACCCTAACTGAAAAGAAAGCAAGTCTAATTTAGCAATGCATCTTGGTGGGTTTATCATTGTTGTCAAGGAAGTAAGGGGAAATAACTCAGAAAGATGCAAACATTGTTGAGTTAGATTTTCAGCCAAAATTAATTTCAATGTCTAAAATGTAATGGGGATGTTCTGATATGAACTTCTGAGAGAGTGACAAGTGAAGCTGTTTACATTATGTGTAAGGTGAAGATATTTGCATTTGCAACATGCAGAGTGGAGAGAATGTTGTCATGTCTCTGTCACTTTCATGAACTGTGGCTGAAATTTCTTTGGATATTGTACTTTTGGAAATTATTCATGATCTACCTAAGTACACAACTAACAAAAAAAAACTGCTCTTATATGCTCTAAACATCAACCTGAATTTACACTGCCTTTAGTCATTACAAAATCGAAAACAAATTTTGCCGGATGGACAGTAACAGCCTAAGAAAGAGCAATGAATGAATTACCAAATATATAAAATGTGAAAAGAGTTAATAGGCTCTTTATTTACAATTTACCTTTTTAGTCCAGGAAGTGAAAATGTCCAAGCAGAGCTAGCAGTTTTTTTTTATCTATGCACAGCTGAAAGCCAGGCTGTATACTCTACAACCCATATTACACCCATCAATCATGCACCAAAATAAAGGGAATTAAAGGTTCTTTGAAAAATACCTAAGATATACAAGGTTTTTTTTTAATATCCAGTATAACCAGTGAGGAAACTTGGGGAAATAGTTTTCTTTAAAATTCTAACTCTGTGCAAAATAAGATACTTTAAAGTGCCACTTGCTGCAGATACAGCACAATTTTTTTTTTCTTTTCTTTACAACACAATCATAGCTGATCTGCAATGTTATTCAAGGTCTTCAACTGCAGTATCATTAAACAGTATAAATGTATATTTAACAAAGACATTTTTGATAACCAGTCCATAATTAAAATAGATGAACTAAAACTGTATGGTAAGATTTTATGTTAAGGAAATGACATGAATGTTTTACACCAATTCTGTTTGGTTGTACATGTATATGTTTTAAAATAGTCCTGGATACCAGACTTAAATCTTAAGACAGGTAATTGGTTTCAGAAATCACCAATATACCAGACTTAAATCTTAAGACATTCATTGGTTACTGAAATTAACGTTTGTATCAGACTTTAATCTTTACAGATTTATTGGTAGACAGTCATTGGTTTCTAAAATCAACGATGTACCATACTTAAATCTTAAGATATTCATTGGTTGCTGAAATCACTAAAAGTATTTCACTTTACTGATATTGAACCTGCATTACTGTTTGTAGTGACAACTGATGCTGTTCATATAATTATGGGAACAAAACTCTTGCATGAAATTTTGATTTTTCTTTATATA